CCCAGAGAGTGGCTGTAAGTCGACTGTTCGGATGTCACTTGCTTTAGTGAGTGACTGCACGTGTGTGGCGTCTCGCGGGGAGCGACTGCACAGCTGTCGGCCGGGTGCCTACGTCAGCAATGTTCCCACAGCGGCCCCTCAGGGATGTGCGCGAGGGAGTGACTCCATCGAGCGCCCCGGTGCGATCGATCGAACGCGACACTGCTGTCGGAACTGGGTGACGGTGACACGGTGTATCTTTAGCCGCAGAGCCAGCCACCCGTAGAAAATCAATTGGTGACTTTGTGTAACGCCATCCGAGACACAGTCAGTGGAAATCGACTCGGGGTTTGTACCCAGCCAGCCATCCCAAATGGGGCCCACATGGGCTAGAAGTGGGGCATCTGGGCGAATGTGGGCTGGGCTACATCTGGGTATGTCATGGGCGTCCAACTGGGTCCCAGATGGGCTAGATGTGCTAACTTTACGTGCTGGACTTGGTCAGCGCCTCCACTGTGCCGCTACCCTGCGTGATCTGTGCCGCTACCCTGCCAGACTCCTGATCTGACAGCCGCCTGGGCACAACCCTGCCCGCGTCCCTGCGAGCCGCGAGGTCGCTGCTCCGCTGATACTGTGTCGCCGGCGTTCGTTGTGTGGTGGGGCGGCCGCACCGGCAGCTGGTGACTATAAATAGACGCAATACGGCGCTGACGGACCGTTCGGGTCTCTACACTATCGTTACAAACTCTTCTCCTTTTTCACAATAGGTACACATCCACGCTTCCGTTGTCTACCGGCCGACGGCCGCCCACCTGCAGTGGTAGCGTAGTTTAGTGGTTAGGGTCCCCGCATCGTGTTCCATGGGTCTTGAGTTCGAATCTCTGGGGATCTAGTGAGAGGCAAAGGGTACGCGGGTCTCCCACGTGTGACTACGTTGCTTTTTGGGATTTACGCGGAAATAGTGGACGACATAAGCTAGGTGCCAATTCCCAATTAAATTCCATGTGCGCTTTTTGCATCTGTCCGTGTGAGTCCCAACTGGGAAAGCCTGTGTGGGACCCACATATATGCATATATCCCAGCTGGGTCCCATATGGGCCCCACTTGGGCTGCCCATGTGGGTCCCAACTGGGAAAGCCCATATGCGGGCTCAATACGGGCCCCAGATGGGTCCCACATGGGCCCCGTCTGGGGTGCCCAGATGGGACCCAGTTGGACGCCCATGACATTCCCATCTGGGTCCAAGGTGGGCAGCCCAGATGGGTCCCAGTTTGGTGCCCACTTGGGGCCCATGTGGGCCCCACTTGGGAAGGCTGGCTGGGTATAACATCAGCCGAGACAGCCGTTTCAATCGATTGGTGACACAGTGTGCATAAGGAAAATGTTGATCTTCAGGACCGAGACTTACGTACAAATGTCATGACGATGTACCAATCTTTGCATTTCCAATGTATCACTACATCGGAACTATTTGTAATCGGTCGGGAACGGCAATTAAAAACAGCTGTCGTCGGCGAGTATGCCGGCACATACCTCACAATGTCGCTATAAATGTCACTCTCTGCGGTCGTATTTCATCCAGCAGGTGCACCGTGCATGATGTTCGTACGAACCCCCGCGGCTCAGCTGAGTGATGTCAATGTGGGATGTGGGAGGACCTCACCGTGTCGCTGAACTCTGCAGGCTGACTTTCTCTCCTATATATCCAAAATGTAGCACTGTTGGATTGGATTCGGGGACAGTCGGGCCAATCGAGTGGGCCGAGTCTGCCGAGCATTCCCAGGCGTGCCGAGACAGTTACAGCTCCACTGCTGCGAGAACGTGGAACTGAACCGACTTCAAACAGAACTTTGGTCGGCTGACATTTCACGAAAGCTCTTCCGCGCCGTCGAAACCAGACAACCGAACCTGAACGGAAACAGGTTCTGCTAAGTGCCAATAGGACTGATTGGTAGAATTTTCACCCTTTGAAATTACCTTAGCTAAAAGCAATTTTAGTATCATATGACCTTTCCTCGTAAAATATAAATTACCAAAAGGATATATTGATATTGATATTTCCATCACAGATCTTCGGTCGGAATTGCTAACAAAAGACAGAATGTCCCGCACAAGCGCTCAACAACACTTATCACCTCAGCTAAATCCGTATAAAATAATAGCCAAGGGTGATAAGCAAACCATCAAGATTCAGGTCCATTTATCATGCCTTTTTGCGAGATAAGTTACAAAACATAATCAATAGGTACAGGAATTAAACGCCGAAGGTGTTAAGAAACGATAATGACGAGTCGATTCCTGTCACAGAGCGTCTAATTCCCGTTCTGGCCGTCAGCAAGCTAGAGAGTAATGCCGTCGTACAGTGAATTCTGCACTGACGAAGCTTGTTGCGGGTTTTTGGTCATTTGATATCTAGGAAAGAAAGTTTTTGCATTGTATCGGATGACGATGATTACCGCCCGGCCGGGTGAGGCCACTGCACCAACGGGAATTTACCGAACACAGTAATTGCATGAATCTCCATAATACGGCGGGACGCTGCTCAGCCGATAATCTTGATTAGTGATGGGGTTGTGGATGATTTTCTACATTGGCTGCGCTACCTCGACCCCAGATACACGCCGTAATTATGCAGTTTATGCCGTAACAAGCTGAACGTTTGGCGCCACTTATGCAAAGAGCTGTGCCATGCTCAAAAGGAAATCCAGATCGATGGAAAGTGGGAAGTGCGTGTCACACGTATATTTCTGAATGTTTCGTGAAACATTGAAATACAATTTACTGTCCCACCCACTTTATCCCTTCATCCGCCCGTCTGCGTCACCCAGTTTGGCATATGAAGAGCGACTTGCGAAAGCAGCCACCAAATAATAAACGGTCGAAATTTCCAACCTCAGAGACCACTTCAAAATTGAGTTGGCTATACGATAGATTGAAATACTCATATTTGAAGACAAATTCCAGTTTCTCTAGCTCTACATATTTGATTCACAAAGATTTTGATCTGACCAATAGTCGTAGGTCTCACCTTGAACTGAAGTCGGCCCAGCTTCTGTTCGGACTGTTTGCTCTCCCCTTCTTCGGCAATGTCCTCGGCGTTTTCAGTTAGTTCTTCCATGTCCGGCTGCACCTGCACGGTACACATGCACGCAGAATTGTCAGCACTTGTATACTCACAGACTGTTACGTCCTTTGTGCACGTTTGAAGACTTAAGGCTTTTACGGTGTTAAATCATACGCATAATGAGCTGCAGTGTAAAAAATGAGCCTATTTGTTCAGGAATATTTGTGAAAAGCAACGCTTTTTGTACAGAAAATAATGAAGATTAATTAAATGATTCGAGTTCAGTGGCTCACTTCATGGGAAAGTATAGATACCGTAGAAAATATGAATTTAATTTAGTCTTTTTTACCTTTTCCTTGTAGGCACTTCCCAGGAGTTGAACGGATTTCATGTCCACGCCTTTTCCTCCCTTTCCCTTGACATCTTTGCTGCGGCGCTTCCGGAAACATCTCCGAATGCAGCAGAAGCAGATGCCCAATATCAGGAGGCCAATACCTGAAAACGAGATCAAGCGCCGTCAAGCGAGCACTCGTGGGTATGATTGCGGAAATGTGCAGTTTACTGATTGATGGTAGGATATCGTGTGGTATAGACCGCATGCATTGATTCATTGCTCATTGCCAGATGATGCGTAAAGCAGTTTATGCATTGCTGCCAAAGACGGCAAATTGCAGACGCGCTGGTAAGATATTCACTCCGATCAGTAGGCATGAATCATGCATGCAGATTGCAGAATGCAGTTGTATGTATGTAATGACCACAACATTTGAATGACTCATTAGCGGAACACTTAAACGATAGCGGTGATAACCATCGGCAAAGTTGACCTCATATGCATCGCTTGGATCAGTTAGCTGTTGTATCATAATCACGATATCAAAATGTCTCACGTTGAAGTTTGTGTGCAAATGAAAGGTGCTTCTTATCCAGATAGAATATTAAAAATCGCCAATGGGTCAGCTCTACCTACTATAACCATTAGTTTCTACTTGAAAGATGAAACAATTAGTCGCTGATGTATGTAGCGATCCGCTAGCTACTCCAGCACTAGTTCTCGAAGTACCTACAGTTTCTGATAAGTAGCATCCCCCTCCCCCTCTATGGGAATTGAGACTGTGGATATTTCTCATCGGAACAGTGCAATTTTAATTGAATGCGTCTTCCTATTACAATAGCATGTACATTGTACCTTCATGTATGCATGACTGAAGCGAAATAAATTAATCGGCATTTGTGTTCAGTCTTATTGATAGACACCTATTCGCTCTAGAGACAACCTTATCAGTTTGTGTGTTTTGTCCGACGCACTGTCAGATCGGAGACAGCAGGTCATAGTTACGTCCGCTAGCTTCCCCCCGCTGTTTTGGGAAGTAAGTGACAAACAAGGAAAGGGTGAATAATATTTGTACGACAAGCTGCCATGCGGGCGGGCCACTTCAATAACAGGTCTCTGGCCATCTGGATACATCCTAGTTATACTTGCATCAATTGGTGTTACATATAGGATGGAATGAAATGAGTTATCTTATATGTATAACTATCAAAACGAGACAATATGAAAACTCATTAAAATGAATTCTGGAGGTGAACCGTCCATGGAACATCCCGGTTTGCAAAATGTGAGCTGAGGGCATCATCAGAAATTAAGGAGCCGACTTACACCTTGAAGCTCATTGAAGTAGGTATTTCAGCATCTGAGGCAGCCATCGAGGCAAATTATCGTTCAGTGTCCATAAATATATCATCATGAAAACGGCTAAAACGCTAATGAAGTATGTCACCAATGACAATCACGAGCCATTTTCTTGGGTTGAAACATAGACAAGGAACTGTGTTACCAAGTGTATTACCTTTTCTTAATTTCGTCATTTACCTTGAATAAAGGTGGTCAATTACCTGTTTAGAGGACATTAATCGTGTACCTATATTGTTGTCGTGTTGGACTCCCTCGATAATGAAAATTTATCATACAATGGTGATCTACGATGCCTATTCCTCATGCATACACTTTTCACTATGACAGTGCAATTGCATGTGCAAGATGTGTTGGTAGCACCGCTTCAAATTGCTCTAGTCGTATGATCCCTGTCACAGAAATATGCCTGTATTCGCTATAGGCTAAATCTATCAAAGTCATCTAACTCAATATTGAGGAAAGGTCATTGCAATCACCCATGGAATGGGTATCGTAGTTTAATTAAAATGTAGACAGTGTTGTCCATTCGGAACACAGAAGACTCCTGTCCATCAGGCATGCAAGATGCAAGCAGGTATGCAAGTATGCAAGCAGGTCTGTAATAAGTGCACACGCCAGCACAATGACAGTGATCATCAGCTACCTTATGCTAACCTGTGCTACATTCACAACCGTCACATCGCAAGTACAGCCTGATCTTAATCCTCTCATGACAGTAATCCCTCACGAGCCGTTTGGGAGATTTCACCAGCAAGCCAACACGCTTCGAGACCATGGTTATGTCGTCAAAGAGTTCGTCAACAGTTCTCCGGTGGCACTGCTCGGTGACATCGCCTTCGGCCCTCAGCAGCTCAGACCTCAGGAGCCGGGGGGCCGGGCGACCTCTTTTCACCCCCACAAGCACTGGATCGACTCCGAAGGCAACCAGCACGCACGATACTTCTTTGACACCACATCCACGCCCGACAAGAATATGTTCATGAGCGCCACGCAGACGTGGATCAACCAGACCTGCATCCGGTTCGAGAAGCTTCCCGACGGCCCCTGCGCACAGAACATGTCAGAGCCGGCCATATGTGTGGGCAGCTTCGACGGCTGCTGGTCGTACATCGGGATGATTCGGCCCCACGGCGGCGAGCCCCAGCACATGTCCATCGAGGATGGCTGCTACACACCGGCATCGGCGCACGAGTTCGGCCACGCGCTGGGCTCGCACCACCACCACTCGAGGCCCGACCGGGACCAGTTCATCACGGTCAACGACGAGTTCTACGCCCTGGAACCCACCAAAGAGGACATCCAGCAGCTCCGCGGGAAGTGGGCACAGAGCACGCTCTGCAAAAAGGAGCAAGTGGTGGACATGCCGATTCCCTATGACTTCCGTTCACTAATGCACTACTCCTCGACGGCATTCGGCGACGATGACTTCCGGCCAATACTCGTCACCAAAGACGTAAGAAATCAGTACATGCTGAACTATCATTTCTATGCAGACCAGCTTCAGTCGCATTATGACCTCTATGTCGTGAATCTTGTCTACGGCTGCGACAAAGTCTGGGAGGACGCATGTGCCAAAAACGGCAAGCATACACCTAAATGCAAGAATTTTGGATATGTAGGCAAGAAGTGTGAATGCATTTGTCCGGTTGGGTACGAAGGAACCACCTGTGAGAAAAAGACTGGGCCATTGTTCCCTCTCATGCCCAAAGCCAAAGTGTTGGTGGAGGTGAAAGAGGCCCAAATAGTAGACCTCACCAAAGAGACTATGTCCCCAAAGAACTTGGACGGACCGAGTGGACGATTTGAGTTTTATCAGTTTCTCACAGTGGTCGTCGATGGACCCGACAATAACACCCAGGCCGTCATAACCGTCATTCAGACAGTGGGCGAATGTAAGGAGCTGATGGAAAATTACCGAACAAACATTAACAATGACCTGGTGGAACAAGATTGTGAGCTAATCTACATGTGGGGGCTGTCCTCCGGCGGCCGTCTGCGCACCGAGTGCTCCTCCACAATGGCCAACAACGAGCCGCACGGTCCTTGGCTTCGCAGCAAGACAAACCATTTAGACATTTCAGCGCAGAGCAGCTACGGATATCGATACAACAGCCCCGAAATGTCCATGCACCTCATCAAATTAAAGCTGGCCGTAGAGTTCGTCCCGATGCCGCGCAAAGCTCTCAAAGTGGAGAAGAAAAAACACGATTCTAATTCCGGGCCAGAAACGTCGGCTGCTAGGATGGTCTCTGCAGGAGCTAGCGGAAATTCAGTCGTGGGTCTCATCATACTAGTCGGTCTAATTTTACTGTTTGCCGCTCTAGGGATTTATGTAAGGGAGCGTTTGAAGAAGAAGAAAAACGCCGAGCTGGAAGATGGTAAATCCAGCGTTTCAAGCTCTCAGGAAGGTGACTTGTCAGGTGATGAACGGAAGTCAGGTGATGAAGATGGTGACGGTCAAGATGGCGAGGCGAAAGAAGACACGAAGAAAGATGATACGAAGGAAGAGGAAAAGGCAGAAGACAGTGAGAATATGAAAACTGGCGAAGAGGAAGACTCCAGTAAAAAGGAAGAGCAAGGCACTGGGTGGGGACTTCCTTCTCTCTGGTGAGTTTTTCGCATAATCGCTGTTTGTAGGTATACAATGTAAAAACAGAGGCGATATACGATAAGTAACTACGTATGGCAGTCATATGGTAATACATTTGGTAAAATAGGTGCTCTTGTAGTAAAAACTACATGCATAAATACAATCGACGACTTGGAAATACAAGTGATTGTGGAACTGCAATCACTAAGACGTTCATTTAGTGAAAATAACTGGGACCTATCGGTTATCTTGCACGTACCTAATCATCATGCATTAACGTTTATTACGAGTACCTATGTACATATGTTTCAGGTAAGGCAGACTCGATGCTTACACAATATAATGCCAACATTGCATACCTCTATAACATAGTTAAAAGATACGCCTATTTCCAGGCATCCATGTTTTCAGACATTGTTTTCAGACATATTTTCAGTCATGTTTTCCAGTCGGACCGTTCCGAGTGACTTCACTGAAGTGCAAGGACGCATTATGCAGCGGAACACATAATGTGTATGGCATTTCATGTGTCATTCAAAAAGGCACCAGAATTTAGCCTAAGTATAGTTGCACAAAAAATATCACATGATAAAAATAAAGTTAACTCAGAACGGAACTCCAGCCTCCAAAGCCCGAGACAGGCACGGTTTTCCGCCCACGCGACATTAACTCGATACTGCGCCGCCGGGCACGCGTGTCCTGCGGGACAGTCTAACTGCCAGTATTCGGCTGACAGCGCGGCGCCGCGTACAGGTTTGGCCGTCTACTGACAAGCCTGCCGTCAGGCGAACAACCGCTAAGACAAATTGAGACCCGGATTATTCAGTGGTCCGGGTAGCATCTGTTTCAGCGGTAATTTGAAGACCTTGACACATGCTTTATCACTTTTCGGAAACGTTTGTTTAGCAGATCGATCCACCAGGGCAGTGTAATTTCGGTCGCGCCCTAGTTGACCGAGTGATAACGGTTTGATTGAGTCCCAGTGGATGGTCATAAACGGCCGGTGCGGGCGGCGGCAGCGCACGGGACCTGCGACACCCGCAGCACGGCGGGAGCACGGCCGCAGTACGGCCGGAGCGCGGCATGCCGACACGGCCGGCCGGCCGCCGACCGCCGCCGCCGCACATATCGATCGGTGAGCCGGCCTGCGTGGCAGCCCGAGCAGCCGACAGCGGCCGCGCTGCCAGATATCGCTTCGCCCGCGGCGACCCTTCGCTCGTAGACGGAATCGCCGCGAAGGCGATCGTCTTTTGCAATAGCATGCTGTGTGATCAATAGGCTGCGTAATGTGCAAGCTCGACACGTTAACTCAATTTGGTTTGTGCAACATCACCGGCTACGCCATCGATTGTAGATGTTAGGCTGTCACAGACAGGCACTCACCAATGAGGATGGCGATCAGGGCCGGGAACGGTATGCCCATCGACTGGGCCATTTTGCGCGTGCCGGCGTCCAGTTTCTGGATGATCTCCGACTGTTCGTCGGGCGCGTCGGTCGCCGCCGGCGCCGACGTCGCCTCGACCATGGTGGCGTTACCGCTGGACACCGGCTCCGTGTCGGCCTCCTCGGCGGTGCCGCGGCGCACCCGCACCCTCATGGTCGGCCCTGCGCGGAGGAACAACGGGGAACGGTCAGCTGATGGTGACCGATACAGAGGGACACCCGGCCGCCGCCGAGTTGTCGACTCAACCGGCGCCGCTCGCGTCAGCAGCGGGTAATAGGAACGTGTGTTATTTATACAGACGATAAGGTCACTGGTAGGTCAACGGTCACTGAAAGAGCACACAGAACAATGAGAGATACACGCACTGTTCTACTCCCCTCCCCCCCCCCCCACCCTCACGTCTCGCCAAGTAATTTAGTTCAAACGCAGTGGGATGCATCTACTAACCTTCTTCCAGTATTAAAGCGGTGAGGATTACAATTGGAATGAATACAAAACGTTATTTTATGCTTCAATCAAGAGCCTGCTGTTAGGCCAAGCACCACATAATTGGACAAACCAGTGGGCCAAACGCTCGGGGGTGCAATTTTATATCTCTTTGTGGGGGCAGATGCACCCACAATCCTGAATTATGCCCCCACAATGATAAAAATGCACCCACAAGTCTTTAACCAGCGTCCTCTCGAGAGCACGGCGCCCTTCGCATGCTCTAACGGTGTCCTCCTGACCGTCTCGCGTTCCTGGATAATATGGAGTTTCTAATCACTCGGTACCCTTCTGGGAGAGTGGCGCCCTTTTGACAGCACCGCGCCATTCTCATGGTCTAACGGCGCCCTCCTGACAATCTCGCGCCCTTAGGTCTCTGCCTACCGTGCATCCCTCGACCGTTCGGCTCCCTTCTGGCCTCTCAGCGTCCCTATAGACCATGCCACGTTTTTAATCGCTCGACGTCCTTCTAGGAGAATGGCGCCATTTTCATGGTCTCACGGCGCCCTCGTAACCGTCTGGCGCCCCTACGTCCCCACCAACTTAGCATTACTGACTGTACGGCGCCCTTCTGACCTCTCGGCGCCCCCGGACCACATAGCGTTTTTAATCACATGGCGCCCTTCTAGGAGAATGGCGCTCTTTTCATGGTTGCACGACGCCCTCGTACCCATCTGGTGCCCCTCCTACTTGATGGCGCCCCTCTACATTTTTTACGCCCTTCCAGTCACTTTACACTTTTGACCATGTATTTGCTTAGTCAGACACGCCACTTGAAACGCCCTTCAGCTAGCAATGTTATCAAATTCGGTGTTAATTGAGGCTCCCACATAAAGAATATTCACTGCACCCCAAAGCGGCCTGGCTCCCCTATTACAGCTGGGCACCCACAATCATTTTAGGAAAATTACACCCCTGCAAACGCTATAAACACTTTGAACTCATTTATGATTAAGTATAACAAATTTGATTGGTGTCCCGCTTCATCAAGGTGCTGTTTAATCAGCTTGACGAGAAGTGAGGACAAACAACAAGTTTCGTAGATTATCGGCTACTTTTATTGAGGTGTGTTTTAGGGTCACAAATATTGGTTGCAGCCTGCAGGTTAGATTTAATTAATGGCATACTTTTCAGAGTCTCAAGAGTAAAGCCTACTATTATATGCTACATGTGCCCAGAATCAAATCGGAGTCCGGGAGGAGACGATTCCTCTTTACCGCCGTGACAGCTTTTAATAGCCTACCACCGGCGATGTGTGACCTGAACCTGCGCGCGTTCAAGGCAGAGTTGCGCCGGCACTTGTTGCGACAACAGGCGGCCGACCGTTAGCAATACTTCATGACGACACGTTTGTGAGAGAGTGACTGCGAACGAATGTCTGTCTGTGTGCGTGCGTGCGTATGTTTTTCCCACGACACCCATCATTTTATATTGCGACCCTGGTTCAGGAATAGCCATTTTTGTGGAATGAGCCTACGATGTCAAATAAATAATAAATAAATAAATAAATAAAGCCTGTATTTTTTATCTAAATAAAAAATACAGCTTTACTCTTGAGACTCTGAAAAGTATACCATTAATTTATCAACCTGAATAAAAGTAAATAAGATGACTTTAAAGTCCCACTTAGTTAGGTTAGATTTACTTATGGACTCGCTTGGAATGGTCATTCAGCGTCGATGCAGGGTATGGGACGTGAGTCGATTTCAGAAAGGTAAAAGGTTATCGATTTAGGATCCATGCTCAAAATGAAATTTGTTTGTGTAAGGTACCTACCATTACCTATAGCTACTTTTCACGATATTTTTAGAGATATGCATTTTTTCCGGCTCCCTCACTATTATCTTCTTTTTTAATGGAAGCATGGGTAAAACGTTATGGCAATATTTCAACAATTTGGTGCCCATGTATCTAAATATGCATGTAATGGATCAATTCCTTAGAACTTTAGTTTCTTACTTTACTGGGACCAAGACGGCGATATACACTACATTCACCATTTCGTCTCGTATAATAATGCACGTGATAGAATGATAAAATGATGCATATAAAATAAAGAATAGTCCACAACGTACTTGGTTATCCTATAGAAGCCAACATTTTCTTGAATCCCAGACGATTTCTATATTCTTATACCTTCTGATTTTGATAAAATATGATTTAAAGTGAATGATAAATGTTACACAAAAAGTCAAATGTTTGTCAAAAACAATTGACAATTTAAAAGGGTACACGAAAGTCGAAAAAGAAACGTATCATTCTATAAGTTCAAAGCCCTGAGTGCATAATACCTAAATTGTAAGATGGCTAACGTTACCATTGAGCTTGCAGACGGCGTTCTACACGCGGGATTCAGCCTCCTCTGACGTGCCGTACACGACACTCACACACTACTCGACACGGCGACTGCACCTGCGCCTCTGACGCAGCCTCGTCGTCGCCGTCATCGGAGCTGCCCCCCCCCCTGTGTGCCCCCCTCGTCGGCCGCGTGGGCGTCGCGGCACGGGCAGATACGGCGTACCGGCGGCCGGACCCCGTTATCCCGTGATAACGACCCACCGGCGCCGTCATTGAGGTCGGAGAACGACATACGACCGGACAGATTTGGAAAACAGCTCATTTGTCCCTCTGTACCCACCCACTTCTGTATTAGGCACACGAGGAGCAATACTAATCAAAAGTATTTGTAGTTTCAGGCTGCATTTGTTACTTGTCTATTTTGGGTTGGCCAAAGCTGAAATAAATTGCTCTAGCAAGTGTTGGTTATCTTTTCAAATAATTTAGACGTATCAGCAACAACAAAAATGTGACTGAGCACAAGAATACCTTTAAATATTTTTTTTTTCTGTTCACCGGGCTAAATAAAACGGCGAAATGTGTTTCTATGCCATGCATCCTTTGACGACCACTGAACACATCGCTCAGAATGTCATTAATATAGCAATAAGAATAGGTATCTTCTCAGGGAGCTACTACTCTAGGACCGAATCATCGTACAGATGGTTGGACCAGGCGTACATACGAGTACTTGACAAATGCTGCGCAATAATTTGGAATATCTTCGCTAATGGATATTCCGTTTGGATGTTCATGGATGACCGCTCTGACTCATGATAAAGCTAATTTTAGAAGGCTCATCGATCCCACACGACATAAGCTTATTCAAGCAGAGAGTCAGTTGTTGTTGGTCGTCCCACGTAACAAATCGATGATTTTTTAGTTCTCGGTCAATTTTAAAACATGCGCTGTCAGATTCTTCTCAATTATTGCGGGTCGCGGGAGCTTTTTTACCTTAACATTCAAATCATTACCTAAATATAGCTAATGCTAACTAACTGCAGCAAAGTGGCGTTTTAGCATGTTTTGTAAAATTAATTGAAAAATGGTCCTTACCTATTGCATACAATCTGGAATCACTATGCCATCCATATGGATCAAAAATGTTGCACACATGACTGAAACATCTTTCGAAAGATAAAGCTCTTTTCATTATGTGAGTTGGGAGTCTCTCGCCGGTCGGATAAGTGTTTAGCGTTTTATCTTGAATGTTCCTTGATTCAAAATAGACGGTTGTTCCTTCACAAATCGTTGTAAAAATGCAAACTGAAATCAGGGTTGATCTACAGGGTTCATCGGTCGGGCATCAGACAACTTTGATACATACAGATCAAGTTTGATCTGCGGGCAGTGGTCAATGGAACACCTGATAGGGCACTGGCAGCGAATCGATGTTCTTTTTTAGCTAAGCAAAGCAAACACAATAAGCACTCGAATGCCCGTATGGAAAATGTTACAGCAGCGTGTACCTGATTAATGAAATAAAATAATGTACGTCACATGAGACTAATATTTTTGTTTAGCTTTCATTTTCCCCGCAGTGCTAACCTAGCCAAAAGCATTCTTTCGGTGCTAAGCATACCTTTAAAAGGGCTAAGAGGATCCCTTCAAAGTGGAACTACTTTCGCTAATTAGTATCTATTTTAAACTTAGGTAGCCACTTATTAAATGCTGTGGGGAGGGTGACCAAAACACGGCTCGAGCCCTGGCCACCGGCCTCTGCCCTGATCCACTGGCCAGCCGGGGTCAGTTGTGGTCAGCGCGGGGCCAGTCTCTGGGGTCGCTGTCGGCGGCCGCAGGCCGTCCTGTCGCGGCCCACAGCCCTGTGATGATGCACGGTACCGACGTCCGAACCACTCACCTTTTCGGTGGACTCCGGTTGAAAAGGCTGCCGCCGGATGGAAGGGTCTAGCGGCGACACATACCCGACCGGTGCGGCGCCCCCAAGCCAAGATGGCGCGGTGGGAAAATCAATAGCGGCGCTGCGCACCCGACGTTAGCTCTCCCCATCGATAGAGCGGCGCGGCCGGCCGGCGCGCCGCCGCCGCCGCCCCCTCGCGACCCACGACCCAGTCCAGCGGCCGCCGGCGCCGCCGCCCTGCCCCGGGCCGGTCCGACGGCCGGCCGATCGGAGAACCAGCGCACGGCCGGCACAGACGCGACGGCACCGGCCGAGCGGGGCTAGGAGGGGCGGGGGGACGGATCGGAAATCTATAGGGGCACATTTGGTCTGATTATGGCTAAATATATAAGACCTTGACCTTTATGAATGGTGTGACCATATAATGGTGAGCACTGGGCACTGTTTACTCAATATTGCCAATTTTCAGCCCGCCGTTTTTCTTACTTCAGCCGATGATTATTCAATTCGGTACCTACAAAACTCAGAGACCGGTAGCCCACTTATACTCAGTCCGAGTAAAAAGAAAATTTAACACAGCACAGGTACTTACATAACTTTTGACCTTTATTTATCTCATTATTATGGAATCACAGACATAGTTATGACAATATACAAATCCAATAAAAAGATAACGTTTCAAGCTGCAACAATGCGTCGCCGCGGAGAATTATTCGCCACCCGCATGCCGCAGTGTTCACTCAGCCTGCTTTAGGTGTCACACATCAGTTTCATCCAGCCGACCTCGCTGAGGGTGCTGATGGGACTGCGCTGGCCGGGCAGTGTCACGTCCAGTACGTTCTCGGCCTCGGCGATGGCCGACGAGTAGGGGTGGAAGCCGGCCTCCTGCAGTCTCAGCAGGCTGCCGTACAGCCGGCGCAGCGGCGCCGTGTCTCCAGCAGACCCGGCCGTCAGCACGGCCGTCAGGTTCAGGTGCACGGTCAGCTGCTCGACCCGGTCCAGCGCGTCCAGAGGCCGCCTCCCCAGGTCGGCCAGTGTCTCGCCGTCCAGGTGGAGCGCGAGGACGCTGACCGGCCGCCGGCCGCCGGGCAGCGGCCACCGTGAGCCGACCAGCCGCCGGCCGCGCTCCACGCCGAACGAGTGCACCTCGCAGCCGAACAGGGCCGCTGCCGCGTCAAAGGAGGCCTCCAGAGCCGGCCGCGAGGCGATCACCAGACAGTCGTGCAGCGCCAGGCTGAAGCCCGGGTCCAGACAGACGCACTTGAGGCCCACCACGGCCACGCTGTTGTTGGAAAACTCGTGCTGGGGAGTGGGGATACAGAGGGAGGAGGTCAACTGAAGCCCGACGCAGCACCGCACCTGTCCACTGCTACACTACAGTACAGCGTCGCCGGGCGCTACAGGCAAATCCAACCATTCAATACATCAGCAGCCAAATCATACAGACAGACCAATTAGAATGGGACTAATACAGACTGAAAATCAAACGGTACATATATGAGCCACGATGAACAACTTTCTTTAGCTTTACGGTAGGCTGGAAGGGAAAACATATGTAATTCGGTAGTCGGTCGGATACGTTGTCGGACGTCGGTAGATATACGAGTATGCATAATACGGAGAGGTGGGCTCGGACCAATCATCGTATGCCAGGCTAAAGGACATGCCATCCAGTGTTATTAACTTATTGGCACTAACATGATATAACGGACACATGCGCATACAGAGTGGGATCCCTCTCACCGGCTCGCCGCCGAGCGTCAGTTCGCGCTGGCACGGCTTGCTCTTGGGCAGGGTGAGGTGGTCCACCAGATATTCCACCATCAGATGCGGGTCGTCCGGCTCGGGCGGCAGCACCACCATGGCCTCCCGACGTCGGCGACACTCATCGGCCGCCTCGCTGCTGCAGCACGTCCGTAACACTTGGTCACACGCTCTGGGGATATCTTTTTATCAAGCAACACATACTATACTGCCGAAACTATTCCAGCCGATCATTCCCGTTTTTTTAGGATAGGGAGCTTCCCTGATATGGAATAATGAATTGAGCTGTCTAGAGAGCTGTTTGTCGTGTCGGGTACTTTAAAGGGACCCTCCCACCTTCAAAAAAGTTTAAGAATTGGCATGAAAGTGATGTCGCTCGGTTCAGAAAGTGCGAAAACGAATATCTACCAAATTTCACCGAAAAATAATTCACCGGTTCTCAAGATATTAGACTTTTACTTTTGTTTACTTTTTTGGGATCTCCGCTGTTTCTAGCGACTTTATTTTAGAAGTGCGGCGTTTGCGGCAGATGTTGCGCGCAAATAGCATATACCACCGCGTGCTACAAAACGTTTTAGTCAAAAATTTAAAAATCGTTAGATATCTGCGCTGACGTCACACATTCAGAGGGGTATTCCTAAGCATTAGCCCCTCTGAATCAAAATGCTGCAATTTTGAAATTCAATATTTCTGATTTAAGGCATTTCTCGATGTTGTGAGTGCCGAAACCGGTAATTGTGAGCCAGGGACCCCATTTTGGCTATCTCAACTCAAATCTAATGTTAAGGTGGGAGGGTCCCTTTAATCGAACGGTTTTATATTTGGTCGTCCCGAGAGATACATCTAACCGACAGCCGTAGATATTGCTGGGATAAAAGCCCGGTTCTGAACGTGCTTGCAGCGTGAATAACTTTTACGTTTAACGAACTGTGACCTGCTGCCTTCGGAAATGGGACGAACCAATAGGTATGCCTAAAACTTCCTTGATAATGAGGCCGCTATCTTACCTTGACCGGTCGGAGTATCTCACCAGAAGAAGTGTGAGCAATGTGAGCAGAGCTGCTGCCACCAGCAGGAGCTGAGCGGCCAGGAGCCAGCCGCGGCGGCCGGTCGTCAGCGACCCGTACCCCGTCATCGCTCGGCACCTCACTGCGGCTGACGGCGGCGGCGGCGGCGGGAGAGGAGCGCCCGCGGCCGGGTCAACGGCCCATCTCTGCACGGCAGAGGCCGCTGCACAGTGCACAGTGCAATGGCCAGCTGGCGGCCGACCTGCCCCGTCATCGTATGGACATAGCGCCGCCTGGCTAAACGCGCCAGCTTTGGTAGAAGGTTAATGTGCCGGAAAGTGGAAACGTAATGTGGCGACCGGTGAGCCCTGAGCATCCATTTTAAGGTAAGGCGTGGTCACTCACTCACTGACACACTCACTTATCACTCGTTAATTTGCTCATCTTAATTTATTTAAAATCTTAAGAATAGATTAGATTACAGATTACAGATTACAGATATATTCAGACAAGGTCCTCTCAATAGTGAGGCTTTTCACATGTCCACGTCATGATAGTGTGATACAAAACGAGGAACAGTGTGCAGCACGCATAATTCCCACACACGCACCCATATATGCTATTGCTCATGTCTGTTGCTTAGACAGCAGCACCTTTCGGATGTTCGCCCGGTACGACAATGTCCCTGGTTCTACTCCAAGTTCGTTCATACGAGTCACACCTCGGTAGCACAATCTACGTCTTCCCGACTCCGTTCGAATGAAGGGGAGGGTGAGGTAGCTGGCCTGCCTAGTGTTGTGCCGGTGCCGCTGGGTAGCCTGCTGCCCCAGCGTACCTTTGAGGTACTCCGGCTGCTCCGACACAAAGATACGCTCGACAGCACTCACTGTGTGGTATGTTACCAAATCCTTGGCAGTCAACCACTTCAGCTGCTTGATGACAGCCGCCACGCTATCACGTCGTCGCCGACCGGACACAACGCGTTCACAAAAGTTTATAACTTTTTGCAGCCGTCCTAACTGCACCTCACCACACGAGCCGTACACCGACAGACAGTACCGCAGCACAGATACAACCAGGGCTTCAACTATCGGCTTCAGTGCTGACCGCGGTATAACGTGACGAGCGTGCAGTAGCGCTGTCAGCATCCCGGTACATTTCCGCGCCACACCGTCTACATGGGACACAAAGCTGAGGTGACGGTCGATCGTCACTCCTAGATTTTTAACAGTTTCTGACTCTGTAATGGTGGTAGAGCAGAAAGTCAGCGTGACAGGCGGCAAATTGCGAAGCATCGCTGGGGCACCGATCACAAGCATCTGTGTTTTCGCAGCATTAAGTCTCATTCCATTGTGGCAGAACCACTGATACATTCGACCCAGTGCATCCTCCATACGCGCGGTCAACAGATTCAAGTCGCTCTTCTTGCCAGTAACCATCAGCTGGGTGTCATCAGCATACTGGACTACCGTGACGTCATCGGGAACACACAGACACAAATCGTTTGAGTACAGCATGTACATGAGACAACTCAGGGCGCCGCCTTGGTATACGCCAATCGCGTTAGCCTTGCTGTCCGACAGCAGTGTCGAACCGTCCGCGCACCTCACTTGGACCTGCTGCGAGTGGTGAGCCAAATAGGCACGGAACCATGTGGTTTCGATACCGTACACAGACAATTTGTCGAGAAGTGTAACATGAGGAACAACATCAAAACATTTTGAGAGGTCTAGTAGTACCAAGATACAAATGTTACCATTGTCCATTGCCTGAAGAGCATGATCAGTAAAGACGTGAAGCGCGGTTTCCGTTGAACGTTGTTTTCTATAACCGTGTTGGGCGTCCGAGAGAAGGAAATTTTCTTCGAGATAAGAGACCAACTGTTTTTGCACGACACGTTCAACTAATTTCATAATCGCAGGCAGGATGGAGATGGGACGCGTGTCGGACGGCTCGGTAGCCCTCGTTCCTTTCGGAATTGGGTTAACCAGAGCGTGTTTCCAGTCCTGCGGTACTACTCCGTTAGAAAGGCTGGAGTTCACAACATCCAAAACCGCATGGCCAATCCCGGGAAAGAACTTCTGTAACATGCGCACACTGACACCGTCCTTGCCAGTCGACATAGATGGTTTCATCGACAGCAATGTGGCATAAAGAGTGTCCAAATCGGTAGGTTGCACCTCAAACGCACACGTCAAAACTCTCGGGAGTCGCGTGGGCACACGTACAATAGCGGCGGGGACACTGGCTGCAGTGGAAGGACCGATCGCAACATAATAATCATTCAATGCATTCGGCGTGATTCTCGGTATCTCGCAGGACTGCTGCTTCCTGCCCACGACCGGCCGCAGCACTCGCCACAGCCCGCCCCGGTCACCGCGGCTGATAGCACCAGCATACCGCGCGCGGGTCTCGTTCCGCACGGCGGCGCGGTACAGCCGGTTCACCCGTTTGTACTCGGCTCGATCGCCCCGAGCTAAGGCCGCGCGGCGGGACTGCAGCAGCTGCTGGGTCTCGGCTGACACGGGCGGCGCAGTCACCTGCCTATCACGGACGCGTTTGAGCGGTGCGACAGCATCCAATCGTTCAACGAACATGTCACGGAAAACGCTCCACTTACGCTCAGTCGAGTCCGAGAAATACACAGGAGACCAATCGGTATCAGCAAGCTGCTGATTAAACGAGTTTGTATCTATCCTGCTGATAGGGCGTCGGTACACACTGGATTCCCGGCGTGGCGCCGCACGACTCTCACGAGTGACCATAACACGAGTGAAGTCATGCGGACCTCCGTAGTGACACCTGGTGACACCGACACGTCTGATCAACTCCGGACGGTTAGTAATGACGACATCTAGCAGAGATCCGGCCGGACGATAAGTAGCTCGACACTGGTTGGTGATGTGGAGTCCATAGGTGGTACAGAGTCTAATCAGGGGGTTGGTGTCACTAGTCTTCGCCTTAAGTAGACAGCAGTAGATGGGCTAACTTCAACATAGATAGCTCCTACATTACGGGTCCTTTCGGTCCGGACGCAACTAAGGTTTGTTCAGCCTTTTCAGATTTTTTAGCCGTATCCGCTACGAAGATGAAACGGATAGCAACATTTTTATAGATTATTAGGTAGGTATAGGCATGTTGCTCAATAATGCTGAAGCATCTAAGTTAAATTTTATAACAACAAGCAACTATCAAGCCTAGCTGATAACTACGAAGAAACACAATGACCTAATTTGACCAAATCTGCCCCGAATGTGTGCCAAATGTGTACCAGATGCTCGTCGTGAAAACGTCTAATTAGGATTAAAGCAGGTTTATACTTACGTTTCTAAAGAGGGACGTTTTCGTTCCAAAATTGGTCTTAAAAGTTGTCCAAATGTCAGCATGCACCCGTACATATGTTTATAATAAACGACTTCGTCTAATCTCTAAAAAGTTTAGAGATTATTTCATTTCATTTAGACTTCGTCTAAATGAAAAGAATTGTATATCTTATTGATCGCAATATTGTTTATGTGCGTCCCGACCAACAAACGTAATAGGCGTAGCAAAGTAACCAAAAGAAAGAATGACCACAACAACAGCACGAGTACCGCTAAGCTAGATTTCGACTGAATTCCGTAAACGTTTTTGCGCATTTGGGATAAGTCGCTGTGACCTAAATTAAGTGCGTTTGCTTGGAAACAATTATGCTGAGTTAAATCGAAAGTGTTTGATTTTTTAATTGTGTTTAAAGCTTTCCACATTTAAAAATGACTTGAAAGTCTTCAGCAGTCTTCGGTGAATATACCACTATCGGATGAAAAGTCAGCCATAATTTTACCGTCAAATAAAAGTAGATTTTCTTTATCGCACAAAATAGTTCATATAACATGCGAGAATGCATTTCAGTACACGTGGGCCAAGCTGGTGTGCAGATAGGGAACGCCTGCTGGGAGCTGTATTGCTTGGAGCATAACATCCGGCCCGACGGTCGCTTGAATTGTGACAAGGCGCCCAAACTAGAAGATGACAGCTTCAACACGTTCTTTTCGGAGACGGGCGCTGGCAAGCGGGTGCCACGAGCTGTGTTTGTGGACCTGGAGCCGACGGTGGTGGATGAGGTGCGCTCCGGTCCCTACCGCCAGCTCTTCCACCCGGAGCAGATGATCACTGGCAAGGAGGACGCTGCCAGCAACTACGCCCGCGGCCACTACACCATCGGCAAGGCCATAATCGAGCGCGTGCTGGATCGCATCAGGAAGCTAGCTGACCAGTGCAGCGGTTTGCAGGGCTTCCTGGTCTTCCACTCGTTCGGCGGCGGCACCGGCTCCGGCTTCACCTCGCTGCTGATGGAGCGTCTCAGCGTCGACTACGGCAAGAAATCCAAGCTGGAGTTCGCCATTTACCCGGCGCCACAGGTCTCCACCGGGGCCGTGGAGCCGTACAATTCGGTATTAACCACCCACTCTTCACTCGATCACTCAGACTGTGCCTTTATGGTCGACAACGAGGCCATCTACGACCTCTGCCGTCGCGGTCTGGGCATCGAGCGGCCGTCTTACATTAACCTGAACCGTCTCGTGGGTCAGATTGTCTCCTCCATCACGGCCTCGCTGCGCTTCAGTGGACCACTGAACGTCGATCTGATTGAGTTCCAGACCAACCTGGTGCCGTACCCGCGTATCCACTTCCCGCTGGTCACCTACGCTCCGGTTATCTCGGCTGAGAAGGCCTACCACGAGCAGCTCACGGTCTCCGAGATCACCAACGCCTGCTTCGAGCCGGCCAACCAGATGGTCAAGTGCGACCCGCGCCACGGCAAGTACATGGCCTGCTGCATGCTCTACCGTGGAGACGTTGTTCCCAAGGACGTCAACGCCGCCATCGCAGTCATCAAGACCAAGAGGGCCATCCAGTTCGTCGACTGGTGTCCGACTGGCTTCAAGGTGGGTATCAACTGCCAGCCGCCGACTGCGGTGCCCGGCGGCGACCTGGCCAAGGTTTGCCGCGCGCTGTGTATGCTATCCAGCACCACGGCCATTGCCGAGGCGTGGTCACGACTCGACCACAAGTTCGACTTGATGTTCGCCAAGCGCGCCTTCGTGCACTGGTACGTCGGCGAGGGCATGGAGGAGGGCGAGTTCTCCGAGGCCCGTGAAAGCATGGCGGTACTAGAAAAAGATTTCGAGGAGCTAGCGTTGGACTTTGTT